ACAGCAGTCCTCAGGCTGTGCCTGCCCTAGTGACTCCATGGTGTGCAGAACAGCAGTCCTCAGGCTGCGCCTGCCCTAGTGACTCCATGGTGTGCAGAACAGCAGTCCTCAGGCTGTGCCTACCCTGAGGTACTCCGTTTGTTAAACTGTAGTTTGCCATGAGCTGCTCCATTTTGAGTATAAGAGCCAAGGTAAAATAATTCATATCTTGTTTATAGAAGTAAAGAACCACCATCTGCCCAGCAGCACAATAAGGCAGAAACTGATAACTTTTTTTTTTTAAATATTTTTTTTTAGTTGTAGTTGGAGACAATACCTTAATTTATTTATTTTTTATGTGGTGCTAAGGATCAAACCTAGCAACTCACATGTGCTAGGCGAGCACCCTACTGCTGAGCCACAATCCCAGCCCCTGATCCATAACTTTTATGTGCAGACTCATCACACTAAATCAGGAGCACCTGGACAGGTGCCATCCCAATCATGTCAGGAACCCAGACGCAGGAGCTCCTCAGCCTCACCAGACACAACCCACGGCTCAAGGCCCACAAAGGAGGGGCCTCCCTAAGGCTGGACATAGAGGGACTGTGGCCCTTGTCACCCTTCAGTGGCCTTGCCTGGCTGATCACCACAGCAGCGAACCTCCCATTTTCTCTTCTGGTCTCCGCAGGTTCCTCCTGCCCACAGTGACCACACCTGGACCACTCTAGGCTGATGCTCCGAGCAGCTCTGACCCTTAAACCACCCTCACTGGGGCCTCGGCTGTGACAGCTCCTCGGCTGTGACAGCTCCTCGGCCGTGACAGCTCCTCGGCTGTGACAGCTCTGCAGATCTGCTTCATTAACGTCCTTCTCTGACCACTACATGGCTCTTAGGCTCTGCCTTCCTCTCTGCCTGTGGTCTCGCTCAGCACAATGGCAGCCCGGGGCTACTGGGCTCCCATGGCCAGCTCCTGCCAGTACCGTCCCGAGAAAGGGTGACTCCCCACGCAGATTGCCAGCCCCAGAGGGTGGGTAGGCTCCAGAGCCACCGTCCCTCACGTCTGCGAATAGGACTTCCTGAGGGGCTGAGAGGAGGAGCAGCACTGTCGGGCACATGCCCAGAGCGAGCGTTTCAGGGACAGGCCACCAGCTTGCCGAACCTCATCTGTTCGTCTCTGTGGAAAGCACAGAGACTCCAGTGCAGAGCAAGTTTTCACAAAAGGAAAACCTCACATTGCAGGAGAGACAGACAGCATTTGGCTAAACCAAAAAGCTGGAGAGAGTTGGTGCTGGGACGGCGTGGGAGGTCCCAGCTCTTGGGCAAGGCTTGGGTTCCTGGCAGGACGCTCTGGCTTCACTGCGCACATAACGCCGGTGGGAAGGTGAGGCTCTGGCTCCAGGTGAGCAGCTCCCTCTGCATGTGGCCCGGGCAGGCTTTCTCACCAGGACAGCATGGGTACTTCATACACATCGCCAGTGTCTTTCAGAGGTCATCTCTTCCTGATCATGAAAAAACAGCTCTCTGCACAAAGGCCGACAGCGCGGCAGCATGCGGGGGACTCACGGGGCGCAGCACCCCTGCATGGCTGCCCCCCATGCAGCTCATCAGTGACTAGAGGCTTTGCTTTCCTTCCACCTGCACACACCTTAGACTGACACCAGGCTAGAGGGCCAGGCTGCTGGGCGGCAGCAGGGACGAGTGCCTGACCACACACAGGCTGACCCCGCACAGGACGGCACTCAGGCCTGCTGCATGCATTCCTTAGATACATGTACCACAAGAAATGGCAGGTTGTCCTGCAGGAAGGTGGCAATGCAGGAGGGCCCTGGTTCTCACTGTGCTGGGTCCTTGTGAATGTTGTCACGTTGCTATGGAGGCTTGCAGGGGAAGTGGCACCCAGGACCCATGCAGGGAGGGCACACACCACATGCATCAGTGTTTGCCCTGGAGAGGGAGAGGGGAAAGGAGTGGGCCTGGTAAACGGATGTGTCTACACTGGAAGAGTCACAGTGCTCTGAAAATGTTATTTTAAGAAATCTGACAAAGTATTAGCACTTGTTAACTGAGGGTGGTGTGCACTTGAGCATTATACTATCCCCGGTACCCTGTTCTTAGTAGTCCTATTCACAATGGCCAAAAAGTGAAAACATCCGAATCTCCATCAGTAAGAGACTAGGTGCCAGGCGCGGTGGCACATGCCTGTGATCCTAGGGGGTCAGAGGCTGAGACAGGAGGATCATGAGTTCAAAGCCAGCCTCAGCAACAGTGAGGCTCTAAGCAGCTCAGTGAGACCCTGTCTCTAAATAAAATACAAAATAGGGCTGAGGGTGTGGCTCAGTGGTTGAGTGTCCCTGAGTTCAATCCTAAGTACCCACCAGCCCCAAAACAATAGGAGACAAGGTGCGCAAACTGGCATATCCACACAGCAAAACCGTAGTCAGCAACAGACGAGAAGTCAGCTATGGATTCAAGAATGAATGGTGACTTTCTAAAACACTCCTAAGAGAGAGATCTGGACAAGGGTGCATCCCCTGTGGCTCTAATGTAAGAAGTAGATAAGCAAGACAAATCTCCTGTGGAAAGACAGAGATGGGGGCGAGGGAGGGAGGAAGTGTGAAGGACTGACGGGGAAGTATGAGGGAAACGTCTAGGCTCACTGATGCCTATATGCTCTTAGCTTGGGTTGCACGAGGAGTTTTGTCAAAACTCAATGGCTACTTAAGACATGTACATTTTATTATAAATAAATTTTACCTTAAAAGGAAAAATAATCTGCAAGCAATTATTGACCACCAGTTAATGATGTGCATGCTACAGGCAGGGTGCTCACACCTGCCACTCACCTTGAAACACACCAGGAATAAAAAGGAGGTACGTGAAGGAAAACAAAAGTAGTTGAACAGTTACAGTGGAATTTAGGCAGCAGGTATGTAGACATTCATTGTGGAATGCTTTTAAGTTTTCTGTATGTTTGAAATTTTTCATCATAAAATCATGAAAATAGCTTAAAATACTTCTAGTTAAAGTAGTATTTAAAATGCACACTCATTGTACACACTGCAGGATGGTCAGCATGTTGGTCCACCTCAATTGCAGAAGGTACTGTGGTTCTGAAGAAGAGCTTATAAGCACCGTACTAAATTTGTGGGCCCAAGAAGGGAGACACCAGGTTTAACATGGGTGAGGTAACAAGGACACACTTCCTGATTTGTAAATATGAAGCCTGGCATAGGAAGGCTGGTTCCAGGAGCAGCTCAGACTCTCCCTGGGACCTAGCCCAGCGATGGCAGCAGCGCTGACGCTCATGGGGCAGGGAGCAGAGATCCCAAGGGTGAGAATCCAGTGTGTGGTTCTCTTCCTCTTTCTGCCCTCGGCTGATTTGGAGTGGCTCACCACCCATGGTGCCCCAGCTCAGTGCTCTCACATCAGCTGGAGAGCCATCCAAGATAGTGGGTCTTGTGCAGATAGCCCTCTTCTTGCTCAGACAGGATCGTGAGTGCAAGCTGAGGTTCTGGAATTGGTAAACTACAGAGCCAGGCCAGGAGCAATTATGAAGAATTTAGGAACTGATAGACTACTGAGCAACAGGAAGGCCCACTGGGCCTGTTGTGGGTGCAGTACAATGGGTAGAGCTCCTCTCCCTGCTGTTGGACCTGTGTGCTGTGAGCAAGAGGGTGGCAGTGGTGTGAGAAATTGGGCCAGTTCTGACCAGACCCCGCAGAGTCTGAATGTGCACTGCGTCTGTTTCTCCGCCCGACTGTACACTGGCTACACCCTTCTGTGTATGAACAGATGCACCACCCATGCTGCCTCCTCTTCAGTGCTCGGGAATTTGTGCCCAGGAGCTCTGGCAGCAGGCTGTAAACTGGGACAGCAGCCTGTCGGCTCCCTGGCGACAGGGCTGTGCCAGGCCACTGAGTCGTCTCCTGGTGGGTCTCACCTGGTCTGTCGTGTGCATGGCCACAACAGGACAAGAGGGTACCCATCGGCACTGGGTGCACAGGAGGTGAAGTGGCACAGCTGCAGACATGGGCTGTAGAATGTCCTGGAAGCACCCAGGTGATGGGGCGCGGTCTCACCTCGTCAGCAGGGGGCGTGGCGAAGGGCTGGAGGACGGCGGCCAGCGGGACCTGCGCCTGCTTGGCCAGGTCCGAGGAGCTGGGGAAGCAGTAGGTGGTGCAGCGGATGTACCGAGGACTGGCGTGGCCTGAAACGCAGGAGGGACACTTGACATTCGGTTGGAAGAACTGCCCTGACATTAAATGTCCCAGAAGGTCTTTTAGACAAGGCCCAGTGTAAAACATGCATTCCTAAAACACGCTGCAGTCCGTCTCCCGGGGAGCCTCTGAAGTCTACTGTACAGGAGGAGACACTGCAATGACTGCTGCTATTTTCTACAAGGAGGGTCTCACATGGACGCTAGGCTTAGCAAGCGTTGGGGCTCAGTGAAGAGGAAACGAAGAGGCACAGAAACCCGGAAGGACAGCATCCTGGAGATGACCCTTCACCTCCTGCCCACACTGAGCTGCTGTGAGCTATCAAGGGACACTCTGTCAAACAGGATTTCATTTTGACTCTATTTTTTCTAAAATTGGAAACTGAATTGAGAAATGAAAATTCTACTTGTACCAAGAAAATTACTTTTGAGAGTACTGCAGTCTATTTTAATGCATGTTTCATTCCCTGCATACCTGAGTGCTGGACCTTACCCTTGACACACAAAACTATTTTTTAATCAATATAGAACTAGAATCTTGAGATTTATGATGCACCAGAACCCAAAGCATGTGGCCCTCAATGGCCCCGGCCTGGCAAGGCCGGCTCTCGACGTGACAGCAGGCTCTTCATCTTCTGAACAAGCCCTCATGGCTCGAAGGTTTGTGTTTTTGTCTTGTTTTTTTCATGTTGTTTTTCCTTCTCTTCTCCCCTCTCCCCTTCCCTAATAAGATCGGGAGACAGTGTTATCTTTTCTCCCCTAGTTGACAGCCCTTGAGCACACCCACTACAGGAAGGAGATGCCTGCTGAGATCTGGGAAGTGAACATCTCCCACGTGAACAAGTGCATCCCAACAGCATCAGGGCACCCTGCGACGCCTGCAGAGCACACCTGGAGTGTGATGAAGAACGCCCCGAACCCCTCAGGGCCCCCCTGAAGGGAGGCCACAGCCTTGGACACAGCCCGTGTTTCTCCTTTGCTAGCAAAGGCCTCGGATCTGGAGGAGCAGCCGGCTCTGCAGGCAGTGAGGATGCAGTGAGGTCTCCGATGGGGAGGGGAAGCCATGAGAGAGCAGGAGAGAGGACCAGGGGGGACCCACCCTCTGGCCTGAGGAACTAGGAGGCACAGGCTGCAGGAAGGATCCCGAAGGGGGCAGGGTGGACATCAGTAGCCAGGGTTAGGATAGGTCCAGCTCCCATAATGCTGAGGCAGCAACCCGCAGCGCTGACAGACAGAACTGGCCCCCAAGTCTGCCCGGCTGGGCAGGCGTCAGGGCTCTGGGATCACAGTGGTGTCTAAAGAACGACCTAGGCTACAACTAAGGTGCCTAAGTATGACCTAGGGTAGAACTGAGGTGTCTAAGTACGACCTAGGGTAGAACTGAGGTGTCTAAGTA